CAGAGATGGGCACGGGCAGCCACAGGAGGTCAACTCAGGTAAAAAGTTTTCTGCCATACTTGGCGCCGGGGTAGGAAGCATTTTCATCTGATTCTCTTCTTTTTCTGCCTGTTGTTTCTTTGAAAGGAACACTTTTCCATCCCTCCAGGGCCTTTTGCAAGACTGGGATAACAAGTCAGCTCAGTAAAGCTAGACTGAATTGAACCCTGAGATCACTCATGCCGTGAGCTGGCTGGTCTCAGCCCGCTTGCTAGCAGGCATTTGTCTGTAGCTGATACTTGTCTTGGCTAAACGGTCTCTAAGGTGGCCAAAGGTACGTGATGCTTCAGACGTGCAGGAGGACATGCCTTGCTGAGCGATGCCCGGTCCCGGTCGGGTGATTCCAGTCTTGCGGCCTCAGCTGCAGGATAAGCTCAGGTCTCCGGAGTGTCTTGGCAGAGCAGGGATGAAAAACTACGGCTCGAGAGCAGCCGGCGTCGCCTTCCGTCTCCCGCGTGTGCAGAGCCCAGCAGACTGTGTAATTGCATTTCCCAGCAGTGGGCGAAACTGGGAACAGGGCCGAAAGAAACCTGGGAAAAAACTCAATTCCCATTTATCCCAAAATGATAAAATGCCGCTGCACAGAGAGCTTTTAAGCATGGGTGACTTCTTAACCTGTTTTGCAGGTGGATGGTAAATAAGGCTGAGTCACGGCAGCTCTGTCAATACTGGAGATTAGAAGCTATATGTACCTGTTTATGCATTTGAGTTCAGATCCAGCTCAGGGCTGTTTTATTGGCCTGATTATGTTGCTTGTGCCACAGTATCACCTGCACTGCCCTCCACCTAGCAGTACTATTAGTGCTGGATCCTGCGTGAATACATCAGAGGGCAAAAACACGGCGCTCCCGTACCAAAGTCTATAAGGCATGAAAATAAATAAGCCAGAGCGGCTGCTCACGTATGTGACTTCCTGTTGAGGCCAGTGAGATGCTGATGTGAAAAACAGTGAGAGGATCAGGCCCGAGACACTAACCACCCCATTGCACAATCGCACTTCCTGCACGTTTGCAAACACTTACAGGCAGCACTGGCATCCCTCTGCTTCCCAAAATTCTGCCTGGAATTTGGAGGTAGGATCTCTGTGCACCTTTTGGGACAGAAGCCACTTGGAAGCAGGATGCCACCAGCACGTGCTATAGGAGTGCTGGGCCAATGAGCACTTTGAGCAACAGGTACTGAATCAGGTTTTCATTTAGGGCTCTGTTTCTTTGTTTATCGTTGGATGCAGTAGAGAGCGAAGAGATTAATCTGCCACTCAAGGGTTCATTCAAGTGCTGTTTGGAGCCCTGGTTCTGCCAGCTGTTACGGCAGGCACGAGCGAGACGCTGCTGTTCCTGCCTGGCCCCCGAGGCAGGTGCATTGCTCCTCTTTTTAGGAATGAGAGCCAGAGGCAGGAGGTCGATGTTCCTGGCAGTATGTGGTGACGAGGAGGAGCAGCTTAGCCCATGGATGGTCATGCACAGGGGAGGAAACGCTGCTGAAGGAGGGGTGGGCGGCCCAGCACCACCGCTGCTCAGCCGAGCTCGGGAAGCAGCGTCCGTGCTTCGGAGAAGGAACTCGTTAACCTTCCCCTTCTGCAGTGCTCGTGTGTCGCGTGGGGATGGCTGCGTCTCCCTTCAGACACGCTGCCAGGGTTTACACGCAGCTGTGGAACGGCAGCTCCCACGGCAGTCCGTGTACAGCCACCCTTCTTACTGGGAATAACTGCTCTGGAGCTGCCTTATGGCTCCTTTATCCTGTGTTTTCCAATCTTGCCTCCGTGCAAGCAGAGGCTCCTCTTAGA